TGATAGTTAAGCTTTCTAAAGAACTACGAGATACTCCGTCAGAAAGATATGTACCATGTAAATACATTTCCTGAATAGTGCTCAGTAAGCTCTACTACATGGAATGGTTGCTAGAACTGTGCGCTAGATTATAAACTTTCGGAGTTAATATGTGAAAAGAATCAGTCAGAAGCCTTTCATAAATTTCAATTAAAGCCGTGTTTGAAAAGAACATAAACAAAGGAATAAAATATGTTTTTCTCTACCTCTCTAAACTGACTTCAACGGCGTCAAGAGTTAATCCCTGCGACTTGTGGATAGAAATAGCCCAAGCAAGCTGCAGAGGTAGCTGCCGCCTACAAGCTGGTTCTTCACATCCCGGTATACGCACCATAAACCGTATAGGTAACACCTATACAGCATTAAATTTCTAAAATAAGTAAGTTTGCCTACAAACAACCTCATACCTCCACTTCTTCTTGAGCCGAGAAAAACTTGACCACAGGATATCCTGATTTGGAAAACTTTGTTACAACACCTCTAGAGCCATTCGAAAGACCACGCATAAGATCAATGTTTTTAGTGAGCATCACCTGAGGGAACGAATTTGTAAAGTTCTAAGGAAAGCTGGAGAGCATGAATTAAGCTAGGAGCCAAAGATAGACTTTTCCCTTTCTTGGGAATCAGTGACGTGGGCATGCAAAAGTACACTTCTGATATGATTTCTAGCTTTGAGACCAGTTATGCAAAATTACTCTTAATTGCAACAGACTGATTCGTAGTTAGTGACCTTTTCCATTTCTATGTTTGGGAATCTCCCTTTTTGAGATGAATAACGTCTTTGCTCGATAAAAACTAAGTTCAAAAAGATTAACGGAAAAAGTCACACTATCCAGTAATTAAAATAGGTGAAGTCAAAGACCCGTAGAGAACCTTTGCGCCTTCACAGAATTCAAGAAAACTGGATGAATCAACCGCTACACGGAATAACTGAAATAACTGAAAAAGAAATCCAGTAATACCTGAGCCGATATTTTCAGCGTCAGTTTCTTGGGAACCATACACTGTATCGAGTCACAAATGAATTGACTATCTTCAGCTTCGAATATTTTACATGATTCTGAAAGATAGTGCACGCACATATCGAAAGGAACGTGGAGAAAAACTTGACCAGGAGAAAACTGAAATGACCTTGAAGCTCTTCCAGACAACGGTTGTTGACTGCTACAGCGTCCGCACTATGTGTGCAAAGCCGAGTTGGAACTATGCCGAATGATGAGAAACTGTTCTTTTGCGTTTCTATCAAAGCTGCGCAGGAATCAACTCCGCACCTATAATGTGAGATTTAAACTATGTACCGCCCAATTTAATGAAGTGACAAAAATCATATCATATTCACTTTCCAAACCGAATCTCCTGCAGAACGTTGACGAAACGGATATCGTCTTGACGACGTACATCTTCTAACAAGATAGTTTTCTGAATAGCACGCTTCCATGCAACACACTAAAGGAAACATCAAGATGAAGAAACTTGACTGTAGGCGAAAAGCCTCCTGGGTGACCTACAACAATCTTACCTCAAAACAAAATTTCGTATCGCCATTTCTGCCACACACCGGAGGCAGCTGAAGGAAATCGCCCGTTATGATAAGTTGAATACCGCCGAAAGGTCTTTCTTCATCTCGGATGTGCCTTGCAACCTAAATGAACAAAATTGAAAGAAGAATGGATAGATAATAAGAAAGGAAGAATTGAAGAGTGGGATGACATAAATCCAAAACTTCATATGAAGACTCACATATTCTATATTAGTAAAATAGTCAGCATCAATCATAGATATTTCATCGATAATAAGATGAGTACATAACTTCCACTGCTTCACAACGATATCCTTTGACAATGCTTGGGCTAGTGATTGCTCTGGAGTACCTCTTCCTACTCCAATACCAGCGAAACTATGCAATGTTACACCCCCTAACTGACATGCAGCAACACCTGCAAAGAGCAAAATTAGCAAAAACTAACTACTCTTCACCTATATGGAGTTATCGGCATGCTTAAGATAAAGTTGAAACAAAAATAAACTGTCCAATGCAAAAAGTTGATCTGTTGAGAGCAGCGCTTTCCAGGAGAATAATTTCAAAAAGACAGCTAAAATTATAGAAGGCGGTGTTCATTAGCCAGTAGGATGTAAAAAATTGAGCAGTGCAAATCTGCCAAATTCACTTCTGTGTATAATTGTTAATAATGGTACCAGCGTCAAAAAAGACGTCTGCAGGCATATTGAGCTTTCCCATTCTTAAACGATAACATTCTGATTTACAAAATGAATCTTTGAAAGTTCAAATGGATAAACGAAATGCTCTTAATTGATTAAATTAATCGCAATAATTTGACTGTGATCACTGTTCCTACAGTTTTCGCAGCTACACCGGTTCCGAGAGGTGTCAAGGCTTATTGTCCAATTAATAAAGGGTGAGCTCGCAGTCAAGATCTTTACGCCAGTATCAGCCTAGATATGCAAAGTACAGAAGATTAAACAGTGTATGACCAGAACTAAATATACCTGACATGTTGACTGATTATCTACATTTCATATGAACAGCCAATTGGCATATGAGTAGAGTTTTAGAGTAAATCGAACTCTATCCCCACTTGAGAGGATACATCTCCAAGGAGAAAATGATGTCATTTGCTAATTTCTACCAAAAGTACAAGTTTTGCAATAATCGCCATCCTCGTGACCTTCTCAATTTTGCACTTCATATGCTCTCCGCATATGTTTAAATCGAATAATCTATCTAAGCATGATTTCTATTGCAATGTTAAATAATCTCAGAAAAACAAATTCGTGCCCAGTAAAATATTTCTTCTATGCACCCGCAATTGTACGGTCAAAAATGTTTTACCATTACAGTTACACTCAATCCATCTAGTGACTCGTTCTGGCTGCTCTATTTTCGTCTACAAATACAGAGTGTATATTAGGTTTAGCAACTTCGTAAAGTGCCTACTGCATACGAATGTCAGGTGCGCTGAAATCTTAAAGTACAATATACATTTGAAACAAATTCCCCAAATTTTGAAATTTGCTGACAGCGGATAACTTCAACCGTACATGACGGTGTCGAATTTCAGGAGCTCCTGACCACATGCGACTAGCCCATGGAGGACCACCGGAGAAATACGACGTGTTTCTCAGAGGACTGAGGGCCTGCGGTGAAAGTGACTTAATGCCTCGACATTACTAAACAAAGACGGGGCTCGGACATCTTCCCGACAGAAGATGGAATCGATCAAGAAGCGATGCTACACCGACCTCTTTCCTTATCGATAACCGTGCCAAACCCCGTTTTCCCCTACGAAATACCACCACGGATTTTACCTGCTGTTGTACGCGCCGCATCCAGACTATGAAGGCAGCCATGGCTTTGGGACCGGACCATGTTTCGCTCGACTTCTTATGAGCTGAAGGACATCGCCTATAGAACTGCGTCATAACTAACGTCTAATCTTCAAAAGGAAAGGATCCTCGACCAGTAGAGAACTCATGAACAATCCTCCTTCAAGAAAAGTGATAGAAAAGATTTCGGAACTGCCGTCCAATATGCCAGGTGAGCGTGCTTTACAAGCTTTTCACAAAGACTATTCTTAACCCCATGTCAAGGACACTGGATTAAGCCCAACCTATAGAGAAAGCTGGATTTAGTAAGAAAATCATCTGCGTGGACCACATCCATACAGTTTCGAGGATTACCGGAGTTTGTCGAGAGTACCGCCTACTCTTGTCCTAACCTTCGTCGACTAGAAAAAGCGTTTGACAGCGTTGAGACTGATGCCATACTGCCAGCGCTCGTCGACCAAGAGTGGACCCATCTTACGTGAGGACAATGGCCGACTGCAAGAACTGCTTTACAACGTTACAGCTTTTCCATCGCTCCTTTGACATACAAATTTCAAACGGAGTTCGACAAAGCGACATAGTGTCGCCAAAGCTATTTACTGCCGCACTGCAGGAGTGATGAAATCACTGGATTGGAACAAGAGAGGTATCCGAGTTGATGGGAGACTCCTCTCGGACCTTCAATTTGCGGACGATATTGTTCCCTTCTCCAGAAATCACTGAAGCGGAGACGATGTTGCAAGAACTAAACGAAGTAGGAAAACGGATAGGACTGCGAATTGACCAAGAAGACTCAGTTTGAGAAGAAAGGTTGCGAGGATCCAAAAGAATTGAAAGGCTCTTTAATCGCGAAGACGTCTTCTTACGTATACGGACATGTTCGATAAACATGGAGAACGACCTGAAAGAAGAACTGAACAGGAGGCAAAGAGCAGGCCGCCTTCGGGCTCCTAAAGAAAGCCATAGACCAGCCGAAGCCCACTTGTTCGATTCAACCGTTCCTGCGCTCTGTTATGCAGCAGAGACGTGGTCTGACACTGTGGCTACGTTAAGGGCACTCTAAACAACCCACAGAACCTGGGACGACGTTTTCTGAAGTACAACCGACGCCCTCAACGTCTAGTCAGAATTCGCAGTACAGATATGAGATCAATGTCTTTCTTCGTGATCCAGCGGAAAACGTCTCTACGAAATTTTGCATCGTTGGGCTGGTCATTTAATGAGGATAGACGACATGGACACTAAGATCTTTGGAATGAATCCCTCGCGAAGCAAAACGTCCTCGAGAGATGCCATGATCAGATAGACTGACGTGTTC